GAAATGAAACAAACCCAATGAGAATCGTGCAAATCGTGTCGGGATTTGCCAAGAATATCGGCAATTACGATATTAACGGTAATAAATAGGCCTCAAGATATGCAATATTAACATAAACGGCATCAACGGTAAGATGCCGAGTTTTGTTGATTTTGCATATCGCCACAGTTTGGACATGATTCTCTTGTCCGAGACTAGACTACGTCCTGACCATCGTTGTCATGTGAAGGGCTTTACCACTATCAGGGCCGATCGTCCTGACGCGGGTGGGCATGGGGGGGGGGGGTAGCTATACTCATCAAAAATAACATACCCCACTCAGTGGTCCCGCGAAAGCCTTGCTTGATAGAGCATGTCGGCGTGAGGCTGCTAAGTGGCGAGATCATTTTTTCAGTGTAAAACAGGCCCAGGCTTAGGCTCTCGGAAGAGAGTTTAGAGGCTCTGTTCAGTGCTGGGGACAAATTCATAGTGGGGGGGTGACCTCAATGCGAGACACGGCGACTGGGGGAACGAGAGGAGTAACACCAATGGGAGGGTGCTAAGGGGGTATTTGCAGACTGCATGTCCTCCTGGACCACCCCAATCCTCCCACGCACTACCCCTTTAGTGGAATGACACCGTCAACATTAGATATCGTGCTGACCAAGAATGTCACCACAATGTCTGCCCTCGTGGTTGTTGACGAGCTCAGATCTGACCATTTGTCAGTACTTTACAGCTTTGGCAATAAAATACCAGAAGTTGAAAAGCAGCTCTATGATTTTTAAGACCACAAACTGGCAGATGTTCAGAGTCCAGCTCGACTCAAGAATAGAGATCAAAAATAATATAGTAGTACCAGCAATAAATCTAGAATTGCTGAAATTCTGTAACGCCATAATAGAAGCGAGGGACAGAACGACAAGGTTGGTCAGCATCGACTCCACCAAGGACAACCTCCCGGAGGATATTTTTGAGCTCATCTCTCAGAAAAAACGTCTAAGAAGACGAAGATGGCAACGGTTGAGGAGTCCTCAATCGAGAGGAGACTTCAATCGCATTGCCCAACTCATAGAGATGAGAATTAGAGACCACAGGAATGTCTCCTGGAGAGCCAAGGTGGAGACTCTAGATTCCCGAGATAACACTCTGTGTTAAGGCTGGAGTACCTATTTTTATCATTAGAATTGTAGACTCGTATCTCAACAATCGAAAAATCAAAGTGAAGGTGAATGACGCTATCCCTGGAAATTTTCCACTCGAGGCAGGTGTTCCACAGGGGGTCGTGTCTGTCTCCTCTGTTGTACTCAATTTACACGAATGACTTTCCTGTGTTCGAGAGGACGAGTGCTGCATTATATGCTGATGATACAGCGTTGTATGCGCACTCGTTCGACTCGGACATCGCCAGGACTCCAGATTCATCTGGACAGGAGGGTCATACCTTACTTTGAAGATTCAAAGATCGGCGTAAACAACACGAAAACTGAAGTTATCAACTTCAGTAGGAAATATACTAATAATGTGTTGCGCCGGCCTTTGACTGTAAAAGGCACGGAGGTTACGGACTCACCCGTTGTGAAATACCTGGAAGAAAATCTGGACAGACGTCTGTTATTCAGAAATAATTTCAATTATTCGATCCAGAAAACTCAGGTTGTGATCAGGAGATTGTATCCTCTGTTGGCCCGAAATTCCGTGCTGACATTGGATAACGAGCTCTTGATCTATAAACAGATCATTAGGCCTGTAATAACATACGCCTGTCCGGTGTTCTGTAGCGCCTCATCTACCTAAATAGGTAGGTCACAGGTGCTGCAGAATAAAGTTCTCCGTATCATTATAAATGGTAATCGATACACTCGGCTGGCGGATCTCCATGAGATGTGTCAGAATATCCCTTATATCAGAGAACACATCATGAAAATCTCTAACAAGCTCAATATAGATTCCATGTTCAGGGTAGTGAGCTTACCATAAAAATCACTACCACTAGAGCTGAACATGGAATCTAGAAAAAACACAGACTAATTTACGAGTCAACCGACGTTTTTGGGGAACCCCTAAGCAATTAGTACGATTCCCAACACGGAAAACATAAACTGTGAAAATTTCGGGGACAACGATAAGGACTGCAGCGTGACATGAGTCTCGCTGGCGTCCAAGCGACTCATATATGTGGGCTGCCCCTGGAATGCCAGCGTGTATGAGCGGAGATCGTATAGCCCGTAGCGGCAGATAGATGGAAAGGGTTTTTACTTTTGATTTTCCCCCTTATGAACCAGAAAATTTCCACACGTGAAAATGTTTGCATTCCACCCTAACCCAACTGAGACCACCTCGGAAATTACTCATCATAAGAAGCCTCGCTTTGGGAGATGCAGCCTAAACTCTAATCAAGGATACGCGCCTCCTCGGCTTACATCAGACGACTCCACACTGTGTGGAGGATTGTTTCACCATCTCTCATATATTATGTGTGTTTCTTGTTGGAATTGTCTGTATTATTTAATGAAATGATGAATAAATAGTGTTTGAGGTGTAAGGATTGTCAAAATTCAATCAAGAGAGACTAAGTTCGATTCCCCAGCAGGGAAAGCTCTTTTTTTAATATTGGAATGGATAAATTGCAGCGATTAAATGTGCGCAAAACGCTCTGGAAATGTTATGTTGTGAGCATGAAAAGGCTATCTATAAACCAGTTTGAATGTATTTTTGTGACATCCCAGGGATATCTTTATGAAGGCCACCTGCGGCGGACGTCGGCTGTTATATGAAAGTTCTATTCAAGTGTGAACAGAACATCGCAGTGGAGGTTCAATGTCTCGTCATCTCGTACTTTTAACATCTCTGAGATGTTTTTGTGCTCGCTGGGTATTGAGTTGAAAATATTGCCCTGGTATACCTATACATATAATTAATAGAGGTCAACTAAGAGGTGCAATCAGAATTCAAATTATATCTGCTGTTAATTCATCTCAGTCCCATAATTCTTTGGTGAACTTCCCGTATGATGTAGTATTGTTATGAATGAATTAGCGACTTATCCAAGAGATCCTATTTCCATTGCAAAATGCATATTTGCGTACGAGGGGCCTCGAATCAGTGTACTAAAATGTCCAAATATAAGGTCTGCAGGGGTTCAGCAAAAATTATATTGAAGGATTCTGACATTTTTTTGTACATAGTTAAATGTACAATTGAGGCATATCTGCAAGAACTTTTTCCAAAAACAGTATAATCTCGTGAGAAAAAAATGTTAATATGGTAAATTTCGTGCATCTTTTCTTTTTTTGTTTTTTCAAGAAATCGCAAAATTATTTCCAGAGATGCCGAGAGTCGTCCATTCCTTACTGAAAAAAATCTTGAATCACCCTAAGTATCTCCGAGTAATATGATTTTTACCAACCCTTGTTTCACTGTCGATCGGTATTGGGTATGAAGTCCTCTTGAGGAAATGCATCAGTATTCGTTTATCGAATCGATGCATAGATTTCAGGCAAATATTATCCAATGTTTTGCGTGGCATGAGTCAGAAAATTAGTTGTTTTTCTCCCCATTTCTACCATTGTTTTTCATTTCATGAACATTTGTGACAATGACTGAGTTTTGGTATTTATGTAATATATTTCATTCCACTTTGAGCATTTTGACTGTTTCGTAGTTCATCAGGGTATATTATGAAAATACGTGATAGATATAATTTGTTATACGACCCCTCGTCACTTCAAAATCATTTCGAGTTCAAATATGGACGTGTTCAAAGATTTTTTGTTGGCCGAATTACGGAAATCAAACGGGTAAAAATTGAATTTGAAATTCTATGAGTTTATAACATGTGATATTATGCACTCATTGATACAATTTTGGTTATGTTTTCTTCGGAATGTAACTCAACTTTCGATATTCAAGTAATTAACCCTGATTTTTTTGTGATAAATATCCAGAGGTCATTCGACATTAAGCATATTATGAACCATACTAATCAGTAGTTTTCTTCGTTCACGAAAACAATGCTACCTACTGTGAAAGTGTCTGAATAATCATACCCTGAGACGGCTACGAGTTCTGAAGAAACCATCGGAAAGTGACAACAATCGTTATCAAACGAGAAAGACGAAATAAGTCGAGTCGAGACAAGAGGAATCTCATCTCGACGGCATCACTAAAAACTATATGGAATTATCACAAACATTTTTGAATGGTGCTCTATGAGAATATTCGTCTATTTCTTAGACATGTCAGAAATGCTAATGAATATGATGACAAATAATACCGATATTGATCACAGTATGACAAATAAATCTCTAAGCCTTACGATAGATGATCATTAGACATAAGAGATCAATTTACTTGCGTGGTAGACACTAATACACAGCTTATCATTTTCAATTATTTTCATCGATGTCTCATGGCCTATATAGCATCATTTCATGGACAGGCACTGAGTACTGTAGATCATTATACAAAAACTACAATCATTACATATACAATCTTGAAATTTTCAGAGAAATCACTTTGTTGACACTGATATTTTTGCTCGATGGAGTAATCAGCTTTTGAAAAATTGAACGTTTTCAATAATTGCATCACAGAATAAAAATTTGATTCTATAGAAATTATTCCACTTAAAAGAACGATGTTCCTTGTCCTTGAATTGTTTGCCAGTAACCTGCTATATGGAGAATATAACTTCCCTAAGCAAACTTCAGTCCTGTGTTGAGAGACATACTATTACATAGTGATGAGTTTTTCAAATTTTCAGGGGTACAGGGTCATCAACAATGATTGAGAGCTACGTGATAGATTACTACGCAACCAAGAAAACATTCGTTTCTATTCAAAAAACTCGGGTGAAAAACACAACGCTGGATCAAAAACTGTCACGTAACGCTCATTTATCGTTGAAGATGCGTTATGTAATGATCATAGTTCACATTCATGTCTTTCTCATTCTTTGTATAAATAATTCATCTATTTATAAATGAACATAATCAAAATGGATCTTGAACTTTTTGTAGCTCCTAGACAGAGCGCTAGCTGATCCCAAGCAGTCTAGATTTTTGGTACCAGAAGTTTTGGAACGGTTCAGAGGATTTGGAGGTGTTCGTATAGAAGATGATGTAAGAATCACGAAGAATGGTATCATCAATTTGACCAAAGTTCCTAGGACGTACGTTCCACAAAATATCTTGTTGAATATTTCTTTGCTTACATAACAAATGTTTCAGGGTTCAGGAAATAGAAGATTGGATAGCTGGAAAAGATAATGATGAGAAATATACCTAGAGATTGAGGAGTTTGTCTCATGCTACCAGTAAAATGAAATATACTGTATTATACGAAATCTAGTAAAAGGATTGCTACCTACTATATTATGCTGTTTATAAACGCAGAGTGCCCTTTTGGAATATGAAAGTACATCAACAGTGAACACTGGTCACAGATGTAGTTTAGAATAAATCACATCCCAGTAAACATATATATGTATTGTACACATAAACTTTATATATTATTCATGAAACATAGGAAGTATCAGATATATGCGGTTAATGAGACATGCAGGTACCTTGGAATGTCTCGGTCACCTGATATTGAATACATTTGTCCGAAAGATATTTCGTAATACCATTGTCCCATTACCGAAACATAATTGATATATGAACATCCATAATATGTTCTACACATATTTTACAACATTGATGTTCATCTATTGATACCTACCCAGCAAACAATTTCGGTCGTTATTACGTCCACCAAAAACCTGCTTGCCAGAAGTTGCCGACGCGGCAAAAGAGCGGCAAACGACGTCGGTCAAACGTCAATAGGTCACTCTGGCCGACGGACCGATGTCTGTATACCGTTAGACCTAAAATTAAAAAAAGAAGTGACCGGTCGGCGCGTTCGAACCTGTGACCTTTGGATTACGAAGCCGAGATCTTACCAACTGGGTCATTCTTACTTGTTAATTATTGACTACGGATGATTTATGAGTACTATCAATGAATACTTATAATAATCATATCATAACAGAGGACAAAAATTTCTAATTCTCCGATAAAGTAGACGAATTTCTGTGACTCATCTGAGTTCGTTTTGAATTTCTCAGTGAAATATGATGAGTCCATTAGGTGGTAGGTTTATTTACCTATCAGCGAGCAAATATCGGATACCTAAACGTTATGAGTACAAAGGAATGTTGAAGAACGAAAAATAATATAAAAGGTGAATTGACGTTTACTATTCCTTCATCACTGTCAAGGGGATCACTTCATATGTAGGTAGCACTAGAAGATAATGAAAATATACCTACCTAATTTATTATAGATAATTTTTTTTATCACAAAGTTAAGATATCTTTTCATCGTAATTACACAGGAGAGGGCTGATGTCTAGGTAATATCATTTGATGAAGTCTGGTGAAGCGCAGATGCCTTTTATTGGCCCGGTGCCGGCTGGATTGTAGTTGAATGATTTCAATATACCTCACAAAGGGCCGATGTTTAGACGATGTAGTGAAATGACATCATGATTTGATACTACTGGTCCAGTGCTGGCTGGATTATGGATAAACGATTACAATATACCATATAATGGGCCGACATTCGCCCGTTGCATGGGGCCTGAAGGCGGCCAGAGATTCGATGTTTGCCGGGTAATTGTTCTACTATTGGAACATAGCCAATCAACAGACACGTCACAGACACATATCCTGAAATATCCTTGATCTCTCAGCTATATGTAATCAATATAAAGTTTTGAAACCTATGATGGAATAGATTCGGAATAGGGAGGTTTTCGAAAAAACTCTGGCACACGTCGATGATATTTCTAGAAGCGCATCCTTTCCAAAAAAGTATCTATACAGGGCGTGGCATGTTACAGCGGCCAGTACCAACTTCTTTATTTCAAATGCAAAATCCTGTATCTCATTGCATTTTCGGATTTTTCCTGAAGAGCTGATTTAATCAATATATCACACTTCAGATCTAGCGGGAATGATTGAGATTTTTCATCTTCTTGGAATATTTTGTGTCTTAACTATTTATTATCGGTCAAAACGACTTTCATGTCACTATCTTAACTTTTGATTTACTATCTACTAACATGTATTCGGACCAGATACCAGATATCGGTCGAAACGACTTTCATGTTGCTACCTTAACTTTTGATTTACTATCAACTAACATGAAATTGGACCAGATATAGGTGATCAGAATTCTGAATCATGAATCACCCTGTATGTGTTCCAAATGAATATCAGTAGATAGACAATCAAAAGTGGTGATAGGGACATATGGGAGTCTTTTTGACCGATAATAAATAGCTGCGACACAAAAAATCCAAAATATTAAAAAATCTCAATTTTGAACACCCTATTTCTCTGTAATAATAATTCCCGCTAGTGTGATACATTGATGAAATCAGCATAGGGTGTTGAAATAAGAAAGTTGGTATTGGCCGCTGTCACATGACACGCCCTGTGTAGAACATTTTTCTTAGGAAGGATGCGCTCCTTGAAATATCGATCGACGTGTACAAGCGTTTTCTCAAAAGGGCTTCCGTTTATTCATTATCGAATTTTCTCCATCATAGGTTTCCACACTGTATAAAGAACATGTTATATTTATTTCTCTAGATTTTTGATAATTCCTCTCTTTTTTAAAAATGAGAATATGAGTATTATTTGGATATACAAAGTATCTTGAAATAACATCGAAAGATTTGAACCACAGATTCTAGGAACAAAAATAGAAAAAAAAGTTGGCTTTCTGTAGTGTTATAGCCATCTAAAAAGGAGCCTGAGATGATGGTTTCATGTGAATATTTTCGAAAGCTTCTTTAATAAATTATCCCAATTCCGTCCCAACATTTTTGATCATGCAATTTTCGGCAGTTCGTCCAGGAAATATGGAAATCTCGAAATTTGTACTTGATATTTTTTCTCTCGTTTAGTTTCGATAGCATTCACCATTTTCGAGATAAGTGGATTTTAAATTTCTGGTGCGTAATAAAAATAGTACTTTTTCCTCATTAAGGTACCTACAGAATTTCCAAAAATTAGGGTTTGAAAAAAAAAACCTTCTTTCATCATCTACTATCGATGATATATTGAAAGTATGAAATAAAAAGAATGAATTGAAAAATAATATGATAGGTACCCTATCAAGAAAGAGTACCATTTTTATTACATAGCAGATATTGTTTGGATCGTTTTCGAAATCGACTGGTATGGAAACTAAACAAAAGTATGATTTTTAAGTAAAAATGATGATGTTTTCATATTTCCTTGTCAAACTGCCGAAAATTGCATGAACAAAGAAGTGGGGGGAAAAGTTTCACTCACCCTACCTATTTCTCACGCCCCTGATCATAATTTTGTCTTGGACAATTCATATCATTCACAAATCGGGCATAGAAAGTTAGGTATAGGTAGGGTCCCTTGATGGAAATTGACGTTAAAGTCATCTTAACAGGGTACGGTCAGATCATAGCTGCATTCTTTTTTAATGATCTAGAGACTTTAGTTTTGTGTACTGGCATCCCTGACATTGCTGTCACGTCACGTTCATGGGCGCTACAGGAAATCATCAAAAATTTTAATAATAGATTGTACAGGGTATTTACTTGTTGAGGAAGATCATATGGCGAACGAGCTTTGTGATCATGATCCGATTGTATATGAAATTGGGAGGTATATCTGGAGTTTTCCGGGGTTGAAGATGATGATTGTTTCGTCAAACTTGGAAAATTCAAGATGTCGTATCAAATGTATAGCGAAAGAAATGTCTAATTATGATCTGATTCTATTCAAGATTGGTATCTGAGGGTTTTCGGAATCGAACTTCGATTTTTTGTCAAAATTGGGAAATTCAAGATAGCGGATCCAACATGGCGAACGAATTTTGTTATTATGATCCGATTCTATTCAGGAATTGAAATTGGTATCTGCTATAGATCAGGAAAATGTATCTACCAAATGGTTGGAAAGAATTCTATTGATGAAATTCCAAAAAAAAATATTGCAAAATTTGTAAAACTGCCTGATGGCATAAATTATACCAGAAGAACCACACCAAGTTGACTTACAAATTCTGGAGGAGACATTCTCGCTTGGAAGACTACGAATATCGCTGAAGGGTATGTGCAGCAATCTCTCACAAAATAGGAAGAAATTTCGAACCAAATTGTAAGTCACTGAAGGGTATAAAATTGATTGTAATCAGCAAGTACGAATTCTGTATTATAATGTTTTTTATGAAAATATCACGAAAACTGCATTGGCCCCAGATTTTATTCATAGTGGTATTCAATAAATAACCACTGCTCAATACTGCACTTTCAACATTACTTTATATAATTATTACTCTACGACTAATTGAAGATATGTAGGATGCAAGAGTGAAAATAACGTGCCTATAAGCTGTATACCTACTTCTTTGTTACTTTTATCAATAAATTATTTGAAAACTACTTTTCATTTGAGGGAGAGTAGGGAGACGGAAAGATCATATGTATAAAATGGGGGTAAAGTATGTAGCGGAATCTTATTATATAGTTACCTTTCTTGGGAATTCCGATTGGATACCTACTCATAGCAATAATGGATAGATGTTCGAGTCTGTCTGTCAACTACAAATAAATAATTATATTTTCAGTGGTTTTTACTGTTTTGAACAAAAATTACTTGCCCGGTTGAACATTCCAGCACTTTTTATACTTGGTTAACAAATTGTCCGGCTAAAATTATTGGGTGCGTTGTGAATTCGAAATTCTTCGTGCACATCACCTTTTTTAGGTGAGTACTTTTTGTAATTCATCCCCTGAATGATTTTTCATCATATTGATAGTTAGTAAAGGTATTTTCGTGTTTTAGTCGAGAGCCATTGACTTGAGCGTTATTTTTGTGTACGAAAATCTACCCACCCCGTTACAACTTGGCGCCCAACGTGGGGCACAAAAAACTTCAATAAAATGGCACCACCCAAACAAGACAATACAATAAGAAGTCCGATAAACTTAAGACATAGGAATATACTGCAGGGTGTTTATAGTGGACTTCCCCGCACACCAATCGTGGAAAACTCACCAGTGACTGATAATATGGGAGATCACAGCCTGGCAAACAGCAGCCGTTCGCAAGTGTGACTTATCCTTTTTCAATTCTAGCTGATTGATATCAATCCTATAATCAGGAAAATAGGTCACAAATGTTAAGAACATAGGTAACAAAATATGCTCACATATATCATTCTGAACATATTATTATAATAATTCTACATTATAATTGAATTAATGATAGTATACTTTTTTATAATAATAACATAATGTTTATGAATGCAAGCTGCAATGGACGCCCAGAATTTCCATATAACTTCCAACTTTTTGAAAGACTGTGTATAAATATGATATATGTCCTGCTTCAATTTCGATTTTATATAATAAAATAATATTATTCATATTCATTTGATTATCATATCATTTCTTGATAGCTATTAATTGATATATCAATTGAGTACATATAGTATTTTTTTATAAAAAAACATTTTATTATCGATGTGTTCAAATATTTCATAATCCACTTACCATTGTGGTGTTCTGGGCAGCATGTTCAGTCTTTGGAATTTTGATAAACTCTTTTATCTCTCAAATGGCTCTCCAACAAACACTTTTTCAAAAATAATGTCTGGATTCACAGGTAGTAACGATTGTGAGGTCTGTTCAGTTTGCTCAATTCTATCTGCTGAAATTTAGGGAACAAATTATCGAAACGGCCCCAAATTCACATCTGTAACGAGAATAGTATTTTGGGACCTTATTACGCCGGCCCTGTTCTGGTATCTAACAGGCTCTGGCATGAGTTCTGAAGTCTGACACTTGAGAGTGACAGTAATAAAAAGACCGTTTTCTCTCAGTGAATTACTCTCGCTGCTTTTCATCATTTAATGTTGTATTTTCATAGTTTAATTATCTTTTACTATGCTTTTATTATTATCTAAGTGTTCAAGTACCAGTGGAATATAATAATTCGTAATTTCACCTCTTAACCATTCTTCACAAACGAGTAACCCAAAACCTAACCCTACTATACTGGCGCTCCAACTTAGTGGCCGTTTTGAAGTTGGTTTTTCGAGGGAAACGAAAGTGAATCCTGTGTGCTCGAACGACTTCACCGATTTTGGGTTCAAATTCGAATAGGAATCGGACGGCTTTCTCGAGTACTTCGAGCGAATTCCATTCCCGTCGCGGCATTTTCACATCGTGTGTGCGGTTTACCGGTGTGCGTACCAAGGACATTCAAGGACTTTTCGTTCTCGGACGGTCTTTCAGACATTTGGATCCAATAAAGGGTATGTACCGTAATTCAACCAATGCAACCAGACGGTTAACCGTGTTTTTGACAGTGGTTTCATTGTGGTAATAAACCAGATTATTTTCCAACGGAACGGCGTATGGCATTCGTATTTCGTATACGTCAACGTCAATTGAAGATTGAAGGTTTGTTTTCGTTTTGAAAGTTTGGTTAATTTTCCAATTTTCACTTCAGTTTTTATTATTATCAAATATCAATGGATTTGCGACAAGCTATGTCAAATATCAATGGATTTGCGACAAGCTATGTTTTTCAATGAGCTCCTGATGGATTCTAGCGATAGTTCAGATGACGACATACCTCGTCGTAATATTCCTGGAGGTAATAATGAAAAATTAGGTTGGGTATTGCTATACTAATTTACTAATGTACCTATTATTTGAAAGCGCGACGAGTAAGGATAGAAAGATATGTGGAAGATGTGGTAGATCATTATTCTGAAGAAGAATTCCGGGAAAATTTTCGCATGTACAGAACTACTTTCAATCACATTCTCTCTCTGGTTGTTGAAAAAATTGCCTCCCAGCCCAGTGACATTGGACATCATACACTGAGCCCGAAATCTCAACTGTTGATTGCAATATGGTATTTTGCCACTCCAGATTCCTATAGGTAGGTAGTATGAACATTGTGTTTCGTGACTGAACAGTGAAACAATCATTTTTCAGATCAATATGCTGTAGATTCAATATAGGCAAAGCCACAGGGCTGAGGACTGTGAGAAGAGTGGCACAAGCTTTATTTGAATTATCACCTACCATAATAAAGTGGCCTACCGAAGGAGCAATAGAGATGACTGTGAATGTTTTTTTGGAGAGAGGTTTTCCAGACACATTGGGTTGTATTGACGGAACCCACATACCAATTCCTCAACCAAAAAACCATGGGATTTCTTATATTTGCAGAAAGGGTTATGCAAGTACCATATTACAAGTGAGGAAAAAGCCACACCCACAATTTGATGAAACAGATTGAAGATACAATGAGAAACTAGTAATATATATAATCATACAAAAAGCAAATGTAATCTGAAAATATTGCAATTACAAGGTAAAAAATGTGCAATTGAAAAAAGGACAAAGTTAGTTTGACATTCCAAAAGTAATTTTTTCATGCAAAAATTTCGATAGCTGTAGTGTTTCCTTCATTTCCTTCATGTTTTTTTGTTTTTTTCATCATCTTCGAAAGTTTCATCAAAATTTGAGTATATTTAGCAGTATTTTTTGTTTCATGTATATATAAATTTTCAGGCAGTCTGTAATCATCAACTCATGTTCATTCACTGCTATGCTGGAGAATGTGGCTCATGTCATGATAGCAGGGTCCTTAGACAAAGTGAATTGAGTTCCTGGTTGAGAGAAAGAGCTGTTGAAAAGTTTCCTAGAAATACTCACCTTCTTGGAGATAAAGCTTACCCTTGCTGGCCCCACTTAATAACCCCATATAAAAATAATGGACATTTGACTAGAGAACAAATTAATTTTAACCTTGTCCATGCAAGAACAAGGAGTTCGATTGAAAGAGCCTTTGCACTATTAAAACTCAGATTTCGGTGCCTCAAGGATCTACTAGATGTGAGGAAATTAGATTGGATACCAATTTATATAATATCATGCTGTGTGCTTCACAACATTTGTATCATGCAGGGGGACATTTTTAATGTTGAAGAAGTCCAAGAAAATGTTGATATTGATGATTTGGAAGGAGTGGCTGAAAGAGGAAATGAGAGGGAATTGATGCGACAAGGACAAGAAAAGCGCAATAGACTATGCCTTGAAATTAATCAGAATATGTAAAATACAAATTTTCATAGGACAATAAATCAAATGATATATTGACTTTGTTTTTTATTGAAAACTATACATATTTGTAGTTTTACATACAAAAATATATGAAACAACAGCCATAAATAATGTCAGTCTTTAACAAAACTTTTCTGTTTCCAAAATCAAAATAACAAAAACTCCAAAACTTAACTAAGCCAGTTGGGATTCATGTCCCCATAACAATCTTACACCAAACTATTCCCAAATAAATAACATGAGTATTACAGTCTAAATATTTCAAAAAGTGGATAATGTATACTCGATTTAGATCTAATGGGATTCATTGAAATGTTCTTTGAACCATTCAAACATTTTATCTTTCTGGGCCATTCTTTCTTCATGACGTTTTTGTTTGGCCTTTTCTATATCAGTTATTGATAGTTTTTTTTCTGGCTTAGTTGCCTTTTTTGCAGATGGTTCATTTGATCCTTCAGCATTTGCAAAAGGCAACGTTTCTGCTTTCCTTTTTATAACTCCAGAACTTGATGCCGTCAAGACTGGATTATAAATGGGATCCTCAAAATAAATTTCATGAAATTCATCAAAGAATTTCCAGTGGATCCCCCCATTGCCAGATTTATTCTTCTCTTCAAGAACCTTGCCATATGTTTTCCTCAAGTTCCTCCACTTCTCATCGCACCTTGTCCCACTCTTCCTAACACCATGTTCAGCAAGATTTTGGCTGATAATTTCCCAAACTTTCTTTTTTGTGTACATAGGTGACTCGAATTTACTTTTGTTGTTGGAAAATGAAGATATCAACAATTTAATTGCATTATCTGTCCATATCTTAGCTGGCTCTTGTTCCTTAGTTATAAGCATCTCAGGTACAGCCTTTTGAATTTCTTCTGGCACAGCTGATACTGCCAGTTTGTCCTTCCTAAGGATTCGTTGCGTTTCGAAATCGACAATGATTTCATCATGTCCTTCAAAACATTTATGGTGTGTTGTGGTTTCTTTACTAATTATTTCATTGAGGGTATCCAGATCTTCTGAACAATGTCCACATAATAATCTGATTGGACTCTAGTAATAAAAATAAATAATCAGATATTTCCTGTATTATTGCTCCATTATTTTCAACTTACTTCCATCGCTTATTGGCTTCTTGATTCCTGATTTTTATAGTTTTTACAAAACATTAGCTCTTATCACTTATCATTAACCTTAAAATTTGACAGTATTTTGATAATTGACAATCAAAACCATAATGACCAAGGAAAATCATCGGTCGTTGCGGTGCCTGAAAAATAACCGAGTTTTCAGGAAACGCGTTCCGTAAATATCCGGTAATATGTCATTTTTATATTTACGGAACGCCTAACCAGTAACCAACCCGAAATAGTTGAATTACGGTACATACCCAAAATCTCTGTCCAATATCCATCTATCGAACTTTTCGCAGTGTTGTCGGATTTCGTCGAGCCGGAGCAAGTTCAAATAACCATGACTTTAGATTTCTTTCAATAGTTGAACCTTTCTTTCACATTTCGCGTGTGCTCATGGTATTTCATTTACTTGCATATGACCTATAGACAAAAGCTTCGCAGTTATAGTGCGATTAGTGCTACTGAAAGTGTGACGAATCAAATAAAGGAAACAAAAATGGAAAACGTAGTTGCAATGTCAGCTGAACAACTTCAAGCTTTACTGGAGGGCATGAGGCAACTGGCAACAAGCAATGTGCCGCCTACAGCTTCAGGTAATTTTGCACGTTGTGATAGTAGATTCACTGGAAAGAAAGACGACGATGTTAAAGCATTCATTGATGCTATCAGTATATACAATTAAGGAGTGTGTTGGTATCACTGATGCTAATGCTATTAAAGGTATCTCAATGTTGTTAGATTCGAATGCAGCTACTTGGTGGCAGGGTGCGAAATCTTGTATTACTACATGGAATGACGTTATTACTGCTCTTCGTCATGCGTTCGGAAATAATAAATCTGCGCCGAAAATTTTCAGGGAGTTATTTTCTCGGGAACAAGGAGACAAGGAGCCAACATATGTATCAACAAATGCAGAGCTTTGTTGTCGCAGCTTCCTGCTACCCCTGTGATGCATGATACCCATAAATTGGATATGATTTATGGTTTGCTGAACTCTTAAATTAGAGAACGTGTGTCTCGCATAGACATCACTTCTTTTGATGAACTAATTAAAAAATGCAGGGCTGTTGAAGACTCTTTGGCAGAATCCAAGCAACCAAGCAGTGTTGCCAAACAAGGCCCGGAAAGTACTAATAAATTTCGTCCAAAGTGCACGTTTTGTAAAAACTTTGGCCATCTTCAGGCAGAATGTAGGAAATTCTCAAATTCAAAACAGTTCACTGACCCTCAACGTAGTAATAAATCAAGTGCAGGTCCGTCAACTCGCACAAATGATGTGCGCATGCCTGCTGGTAATAACATTATTTGCTATTGGTGCAATACTCCAGGTTATGTGAGATCGAATTGTCCTAACTGCCGTGCCTCGTCTCACGTAGATGTACATTCTCCTCGAAACGTTTCATCTGTTGACGTTCTGTTGACCGACACCAATGATGACGTCAGACGTCCCTTAGTAAAAATCTCAGTTGAAGGTATTACGGGAGGTGCTTATATGGACACCGGCGCTAAATGTTCTCTCGCTGGTTCCCGTTTGTATAACCATTTCATGGAAAATCACGTCCCCTTCTCCTCTGAAATCAGAACCATGCTTCTAGCTGACGGTGAACCTCGTCAAGTATCAACTCGTATATTCCAGTGCAATATTTTTCTATCGGATAAAGTCATACCCACTTTGTTCATAGCCATTCCTGATCATGTATATGCAAAAACTCTTTTAGGAGTTGACTTTGTTTCCAATGCAAATATCGTTATGGATATACCTCGAATGAAGTACCATTTCGCAGAAGCACCCCATATTCATCATGATTTTCTGTCAGAAATTCCTTCTTCGTGATGACGAGGCCACGCAGATCAGTGACTTTGAACGCAACCAATTGCAAAAACTTTTGGTAAACAACAAAGATGTTTTTGAAGATAATCAGGAAGCTACTCCCTATGCTGAACATTCGATCAGGTTAACAAATGAAACACCTATCGCAGTTCCGCCATATAGAATGACAGAACAAAAATCAGATCTATTGAGGGAAGAACTGGATAGGTTGATCCACAAAGGAATCGTCGAAGAATGCGAATCAGCTTTTGCTGCACCTGTGGTTTTAGTGCCCAAAAAGAATGGAAAAGTTCGCATGTGCGTGGACTATCGAAAGTTAAATAGTGTGACTATTCCCGACAGATATCCGCTGCCTCGCATGGACGACTTGATGCACGCAACGACTCATTCCATCTTCATGTCTACCTTGGACCTCAAAAGTGGTTATCACCAGGTATCGGTTCGACCTGAAGATCGCGACAAGACAGCTTTTATCACTCCCTTCGGTTTGTATCGCGTCACGCGCATGGCCTTCGGATTACGAAATGCGCCAGCTACCTTCCAAAGACTGATTAATCGATTTCGTATTGGCTTGAGTGATATCACAATCTTAGCTTATTTAGATGACCTAATCGTGATTAGTGAAAATTTCGATAAACATTTGCAAGATTTGCAGAGAGTTTGCCAACGTTTGGGACAATTTAAACTAAACGCGAATCGCGAAAAGAGTTTTTTCGTGCGACAGACAGTCAAATACTTGGGACACTTGATAACTCCTACACTGAGAGAAACTGGATATTAAAAATATCTACCAGCTCTGATTGTAATAACCATTATAAGGAAATCTCCTATTTCTGATAATTTTATTATTACAACAGTATTCTCTCCATTCTGTATTTATAAAAATCGATTTTTTAAATCATTTGTAATACCCTTGAATGGGCATTTGCTACCATCATAACGCAGGTGTGTTATGACATTATGAGAATTTTATAAATTCCAGTCTATTTAGATTTTTTATTGACATAGCTCGTTTTGTGAATTATGCTCATTGGTGAATTCAGATAATGTTTGTCCCAATAATCATAGCTGTTTGGGTTTCTAGCATTGTACGTTGACGAATAACTCTAGCAATTCACATGTATGACGGTTATTAGGCAATCATTCGACAATCGTAATTCGGCTCATTTCGCTCTAGTGTTTCATTAGTATTGGGGCTGACAAAGATATAGATCGCGTTCATTTCACTGCTGTTCTCGGTCATGGGTGCCCGTGTTCAATTATTGTTCAATGGTTTCGATCGTCCGAATCGATAGAGCCGTGTCTTGTAGTGTAGGTGAATGTCTGTGATGTAGCAAAGTTTTGTTTTAGTGCTGGCTGTGAAACGATCTGTGGAATTTACCGTGCATTGCTCTATTGCAATGAAAAAAGTATCCTCTATACCCACTTTTCACGGCCTAAAATTGGTTTATTTCAAAAACAAAATGATCGATAAGATTCCGAATCAAAATATCTGGGTTTCTGAGAGGGAAGTTTTATTGACAATTCTCATCATAACTCCGAAGAAAGGGTAAATATAAGCATTCAACTTCTCATTTCTTAATAAATTCGTCAGTATGCATATAGATGATATTTCTCCGAAAAAATCAATGAGTAATGTCAAAAAACGTCCACAGATACCCAAATATTTCAACTCAGAGACCAAACGTATTTTTTGTTTTTTTGAAAACAATAACTTTGGATCATGAAAAGTGAGTGTGGATTGGATATTTATTTTCATTGCAGTAATTCAAAGCACGGTTTCATAATGCATACCATCGAATAATGTTGATTAGATAACCTTATTACCACTGTTTGATGAATATACTAGAGTAGAAAATATTGGGATAGCTGTTGAAAATGAGCTATATTTCAATAGCATGTCAAAATGTCAGGTTACATGCAGATATCAGATAACTATAATAAAATGAGACGTATTACTGCGTTATCTCAAGATGGTTGTGCCAGTAATAAAAACATGCTGTTTTATGTCGATAGTCTAATAACCAATGTAGAGTGGAGAGTTACTGCAACATTTCATGGGAATAAGTCCTATTCGACATTCTGTGTTATCATAGAAACTAGAAAAAGTAGTAGTTATTCAGCAGCGGTGTTTTTATACAAGTTTGCATATTGAATAAGCTGCCATAACTACAAGTCACCTGAAAATTCACTTCATCTATGGTAGCAAATGAACACATCTGTCCCCTATTTATTGCAGATATCGTAATAACGGTTATCAGATTTTCAATTATGATAACTCAAGTTTTCTCTCAGTGTACGGGTATTGCACCCGATCCAGAAAAAATTATCGCTATACGTGACATGAAGCCACCGCAAACTATTAAGCATGTCATGTCTTTTCTACAGACTTGTAGCTGGTTTCGTAGATTTGTGCCAAACTTCGCAGAAGTATCCAAACCACTGAGTGATTTGACGAAAAAGAGAGCTACGTTTTCGTGGGGTCCCACCCGACAAGAAGCCTTCAATAAGCTGAAAATTCTATTGACTACTTCCCCAATATTAAAACAAGCAGACTCATCTTTACCATTCATCCTTAAAACCGATGCCAGCTCTTATGCTATCGGAGCATGTTTGCTCCAGGGGGAGGGGGAAGATGAGCGACCTGTTGAGTATGCAAGTAGACTACTCACAGCAGCAGAACGAAATTACAATACGACAGAGCGCGAAGCACTTGCTATTGTCTACGCAGTAAATAAATACAGAGGGTATATTGAAAATTCCCCGATTATAATAAAATCTGACCACCAACCTCTACGCTGGTTGATGACCTTGCGGACACCTAGTGGACGCCTAGCTCGTTGGGCACTGGACCTCCAGTGCTATGACCTCCGAATCGAATATATACCTGGCAAGACCAACAGCATTGCCGATTTATTTTCACGCCCACCGTGTGACGTGACGGATCGAGATTCCTGCGAGGTGTGCACCATCGCTATAGACCTACCGACCGAGGGTAATACAGCACTCAGAGAAGAGCAGTTGTCAGACCCAGAAGTCAAGAAAATTATCGATTGTTTCGAATCGCCACAACCGAACCAGGTGGACTTCAGCCGCTGGACGGATAGAGGATATATCATGACGAAAGGAGTGCTTTATCGCTTCACCCCTGATATTGAGTCAGAAGAGGCTCAATTAGTTGTGCCACAGTCGAAGGTATTGACAATTATGAAGGAATACCATGATTCCGCCACTGCAGGACATTATGGCGTGGCCAAACCATGCAACGGATCAGTTCCCGTTATTATTGGCCGA